ATCTTGTGGTTAGCACAGAACCACCAGGGCTCCTGGAACGATAAAATGTTAGACTTTTCCACCTTCCCCAGCACTTTACCGTTATCGTCACCTTTGTTGCAGATTTTTTGATCTTTCATTGCATTCTCATTTTTCATCTCGCCCTCCAGCCTTTCTATTACTGTCAGCTCTGCTACCACATCCACTCAGTTTTCAATTTTGGAAATTTCATAAATTTCCAGGGTTCAATTTAATTTTCATACCTGTGTTCACTTTTTATTAATTTCCCATTTCCTTTGGAGTTGTAGGATCAGCATTGAACTGCTAACCACTAGGTTGGGAGTTCAAACTTACCAGCTGCTTCTCAGAAACCCTACGGTGGTGGTGGTGTGCCGTGGAGTTGGTTCCGACAGTGACCCTTTATTGGGTTTCCAAGGCTGTAAATCTTTATGGGAGCAGAAAGCCTTATTTTTCTCCTGCAGAATGGCTGGGTCATTTTGAACTGCTGACCTTGACGTTAGTAGCCCGACTCGTAACCACTCCCAGAGCTCTATGTGCACCGAGTACGTCTTGACAATTGCTCAAGCAGGCAGGCCACCACATTGAGTCACAAGTCAGTGAACGGCTCAATTATGATTCTGATTCCCAAACCCCTTTCTCCCTGCTTCAGTTCTAATTACTTGATTATTACTAAGTGCCTGTTGAGTTGGTTCTGATTCATGATGATCCCGTATAGGGTTTCTGAGCCGTGGCTGGTGGGTTTAAACTGCCAACCTTAGAGCAGTCCAGTGTCACACCAAGAATCCCTTATGTAGATATGTTGCTGTTTTGTGCCATGGCTCAAGTCGTAGCGAGTCTGTGTAGTTCCTGAAGAGTGGTTCAGTGCATTAACCTGCAGCTCCATACCAGGACTCTGTGTAGACAGATATCTAGATACACATGCTGGGTCGAAAGACCGCTTTCTGGAATATTTGCTAAACATGAGTTGATCATGATGTCTCATTCTGGTCTGTCCCCTGCCTATTGGTGCCTTCTCACCCAACAGTGAGAAACCAGGCAGGTTATTTCCCACAAGCCATTGCTGGATACTGTTGTCCTCCCCTCTACGTTTTTAAAAGAAATGGCGGCATAGTCTGCAAAGAGCAATGCACAAAAGGTTAGAACCACTCAGTGTAGTGGTTACGAATCAGGCTGTGGGTCACAAGGTCAGCAGTTCGAAATTACCAGCTGTTCCGTGGGAGAAAGATGAGGCTTTCTGCTCCCATAAAGATTTACAGCCTTGGAAACCCTGTACAGGGTCGCTATGAGTCGGAACTGACTCCACAGCACATAACAACAAAGACACCACAGAAGAAAGGCCTGGTGATGTGTGTGCAGAGAGCACAACCCCAGGCAACTCTATGGAGCTCAGTTTTAATTCTGAGACATATGGGGGTGACCATGAATCAAACCTGGCACAATGACACATGGGTTTGGTTCTTGGCTATGCTGTACACACTACTGTGTTGATGGACAGATGGCATTGGTCCTTATTCCTTGCTGCTACCCACCATAGAATCTACCTTGTCTCTTTTACGGGATAAATGGCTTCCACAGCATGAGTGACAGACACTACAGCAAACTGAGAGATGATGGAAAGATTAGCAGCAGGAAGGTGATTTCTCTTCGATAAATTGACCTAAGTGGAATGGTTGGGTCAAAAGGTATGGACAGCTTGTGCAACTGCCCTACAGAGGGATCATGCCAATTTGTATTCTCACCAAGGGAGTATGAGCGCCTGTTTTCACGCTGTCTGAACAGAAAACATAAATGTCAAACCTCGATCTCTGCCAATCAGATTGGAAGAACATTACTTCTTTGCTTGTGTGTATCTCATGTAGTTTCTAGATTCTAGAAAGGTGTACTTTTCTATTTTTTAAATCTGTCACTTCCTGTATTGTCATTGTTTAGAAAGGACTTTTGAGTTCCACGTGTTTAGATGTTCACTAGACATGAAAACAGACACGAGTCCTTTGCACACACCACCCCACACTTTGGGGGCTACCCTGTCTACCTCCTCTGCACGCACACTGGCTGGGGGGTGGGTCTCACATCCTAGGACCCTATGTGCCCCAGTCTACTTCTTCATGGTGTGGAGTGTCTTGTGGACTTTGTGAGAACCAGAGGTTTCTCTGACTCCAGCGGCAGCTGGTCTTGGTTCTGTCCTTGGTTTTCTGCCTCCGCTTCTCTTGTCTAACTACAGGGCCAACCTGGTGGGCAATAGTGGATTTTGAGTGGTGCTGGCTTTCTAACATTTTTGCTTTATTTTCATTGTGTATTAGATGACAGGAATTGAGATTTTTCTTTCATGTCGGGAATTTAAGGAATGCCTTTCCCACTTGGCAGCACGTCTGTTTAAGCTTGTCAGATTTCTAGAACCAGCCAGTGATACACAGATCCTTGAATCCACCAAGAGGAATAAAGTTTTCTATTCATGCCTCCTCACCCACGCCTGCAGTCAACACCACACCCAAGAGCTTGTGGTAGAATAGATTTATTTACCTGAAACTGCCTGTGCCACGCTTGTTCCAGCACAGACATATACAGCGGATCTCTATTTACAGTCTAAAGTCAAACATGCGGTGTGATAAATTGACGCTTAGCATTTGTATTAAGAGAAATGCATCACAATATTCGTATTGCACCAACATCTGTCTACTGCTTGATTTCATTAAATAAGTTACATTTAATACAGTGCAAATTAGCTGTTTGCACACTAACAAAACAAAACAAAACAAACAACTTAAGTTCTGAGCTGGAGGCCTACATCTGAACCAGTCAACACCTGTAGTGTTTCCAATGAACTTATAAATAAGCAAACTGTACAGGGCCAATGGGAAAGTGGCATGTTTCAAATGACACCAGAGAGAACTCTGGCTTCTGACAACGGCAGGCATGCATCACAGCACAGTACTGGCTATTGCAGGGTTACATGAGCTCTCACATTCTGCACAGAGAAGTATGGAGACTTGGCTGATGGCTTCTAAGTTCTTAGAAAAGGTTTCAGAACCCCATTCTTCTTGCAGCAAAGAAACCACATTTCTCTGGAGAGGCTTTCTGGTTTATGAAGCTAATTGTACATTGGTAATTATTATTTAAAAGCAACAAACCCCATTGGTAGAACACATTTCCTCCACACAACACACAACGATTCTGGGAGATGGGTCTACTCTCCCCCAACATCAACCATGCAGAGGTCGTCAGATGTGTTGCTAAACACGCACATGCACGCAACTGAACACCCTTACATTTCTGCAAAATGGTTTAGGAAGCGGTTACTCCAGTATTGCTGAAAAGGAAAGAGAGAGGAAATCAGCTTTATGAAATACAGGAAGAAAATGTCAGAATAACTTTACTTAAGACTAACAGTGACAGATGAAAAGGACTCTCAGTTAATAAAGTCAAGACCAGTAGTTCAGATCAATGGTCCCTGAGACGCACCCCTAGTACCCTAGGCGCCCTCAGGCAAACTTGCCCAGTGGACAGGAGACTCTCAGAAATAGGCACATAGGGAACAGGCTTGTGTTTAGCAGCAGTGAGATGGGGTCTTGGTTACAGTGAGAGGTAAGGAGGCAGAAGCAAAGGGGAGCAGTGAGCAATGTGTGACAGAAACCTCTATCTGTCCTGTCCCCGGGCAGCCTGTTTGTGAGGCAGCTATGTCCTTATTTCCACAAGAAGCTGAAGGCTGTCTTGTCCCTCTCCTGGTAGGGTAGGACTTAAAGGACAGAGCCGTGACCTTGCAGACATGCCCCGCATTTGGGGTCTGCCCACCACATCACTATGAGCGCTGTGACGTTCACGTGGCAGCTGTTGGTGAGCACAGCAGGGTTCACTCCCTCCTTGACCTGCGGTGCTTGGGCCCCAGGGTGAAGGACAGCGTGATTGAGGCCCATCTAGGCTTGTTGGCAGTGTTCAGGGGCCTAATAGTACGCCCTGCAGTGGCCTCTCCTGGACACGTCCTCCTTGTTTGGGCCCATTTATACTGAGCATGGGGTCAGTCACTTTGGTTCCAGTGAGTAGGGAGTGCAGAACCCAAGAAACTGGTTGAGATGCTGTCCTCAGCCCATTTTCCTTTCATGTGGCTCCTTTGCTTGCTCCATTTCCCACAAAACCTGCCTGACACCAGCTGACTCCTCCCCCAAGCTTTCCCACGTCACATCTTCCACTGCATGAACCCTCAGCCAGCCAGCTCCAAAAGGACACACCAGGCCATGCTCACACCAGCTGAGGCTAGGCTGACACCTGCGGTCTTAATTCCCCTTGGTAGAAAAGTCTCAGCCACCAAGGGCCTACCTGACCCAGAGGGCAAAACAGTCTTGTTCAGGGTTCCTGCTGCTTCTGCTTCCTGACAGCCTAGCCGTCCCTGCCCATTGTGCCAGCATCCACAAAGTCACATTCGTCAGCTATAACATTGTACCAAGTCTTGTTGCTAATCACTCCTGCCCAGGGGTGTGTGTGTGGGGTGAGCACAGCAGAGGGACATGGGGCGTGGGGTGGAGGTCACTACGGATTTATGAGAGTCCCCAGCTGTCTCATGTAGACTTAGCATCCAAATTACAGGGAAGATGATACTCACTTTAGTTGATGAAAGTTGGAAGGCATTGGAGAAAAACACCACGGTTAGGACTGTTAATGACTGACCTCGAAACATGCGCAAACATTATCATATTAACGATGGTGGTGGTTAGTGCCACAGGAAAATAAAAATAGTTCTATACAATATGTTCATTTGGTCATGTGCTATTTACAGATTTTACAAAACACATACACGCATGTACACACACGCACACTGCCCTCGTGTTCTCTACAGCAGGCGCAGAGGCCAGCGGGAACTCGTATAGTACATGTACCACAGGAAACAGCTAGTGCCTGTGTCCACGCTCCGACAGCTCTAGCTCTAGGGAGGACACTGAGCACAGGGCACAGCTGTTTGCTACTTAAAGCTCAGCCACTAAGAGTTAAAAACAAGACAGTTCTTTGTCCTCTGTCCATTTAAAATGTTTTTATTTTTTTAAACTAGATTGTGATATGCCACTAAAATAGGCAAATGTTGGCCAAAAAAAAAAATGTCTGTTACAATAAAATACATTAGACATTTAAATAAATAACCTAAAAACCTTGTGAGGGGACATGAACCCAGTAGGTTGAATCGGGAACAATGTTTTCTGCACAAGCAAGAACAGGCATACCTCTTATTAAGACGGATGTAAACAAAACCATGGAAACCCTAGAGGAAGAGCTGAGCTGAGTGGGGAGGTGGAGGTGAGTGGAGGGGCCGGGGGTGAGGAAGTGGCAAACCAAAAATACTGACTGAGGTAGCAGTATTCTGCTCAGTGCAGAAAAATTGGCTTATGAGCAAAATTAGACTGTGATACCAAATTAAATCAAAATGATCATGCAAAAGACAACACATGCTATTTAGTTTCAGAAAAACCCAGATTCCTCGCCTAAAACTCTGCTGCCAATTAATTGCTGACAATATCTGCTGGCTCAGCGATTTTTTATACAAGGATGAGTATTAAACAGAACACTGTACATGCTTTTTCATCTACAAAAAAATATTTGCATAAAATAGTGTTAGTTCTCTGTACATGTCAATGGACACTTTAATTACGTGTATATAAAAAAGGAAAATCTTGCCCCACTGGAGTCAGAAAAAGCAAAACAAAATCTAGAGTATGAAACCTCCTCCACCAGCCAATAATGTTCATGTGAAAATTCAGCAGAAATAGACAGTTGCTTTAAACGATAAAAAAAATTAATTGATTAAGTTAGACATCCTCTGTAGGTCAAGCTGTCAGTCAAGACCAGAACATATCGGTGAAGTTAGTGTCGGTGCTGTACACCCACACCACCAGGGGCAACACGAGCAGCACAAAGGGCCACGAGATGCCGTCGGTGCACTCCGAGAGCGAGCAGGGCCGCGCCGGCCGCACACACTCTTTACCAGGCTCCAGGTAGTTGCGGGCCACAAACTTGAGGGTCTCATCCAAGAGGATCACAGGAAGGGAGATTTTCAGCACCATCAGCCATTGGGTCAAGTTTAGTGGTGTGATCTGGAAGATAAGCTGCAACGGAGAGGACCTGTCAGACGCGCCCATGCACCTGCCAAGACCCCACAGTCAGCAAGACCCCAGAAGACACTGGCACTTACAGGCAGGGGCTCCACGTAGAGAATGAGGAAGTGGAGGGACATGGACAAGCAGATGGAACCCACGAGCCAGATGTTCTCCCAGGGGGGCATCCTCAGCAGGGACTGGTTTTCAGACAAACTGGAAAGGAAAAGGAAAGTCCCGTGAGGTCCCTGAACTGAATTCCCAGACTTCGGTATCTGATGGCGGAATGTAGGAGGGAGGGACTGTGTGGATCTGCAATTTCCAATCTAGACTCTGACTCAGTGACTGGCTCAACAAGGCTGAGTGCTGCTTTCATTGCCCTGGACACTATCTCCATGTTTGCCGCTGCCTTAACTGGCTCAAAGCTAAAGGACAGAGCTCCTCTCCCTTGGACACTGGTAGGTGAGGCTCCTGTTTCGGGTCTCCATTCTCCTTCTCAGGATGCTCTCAGGCAGCACACAGCTTAACATGTCCACTCCCTTTCTGGAGTGATGACGTTCTGAAACAGCTGACCTGTGCTCTACCAGCTGCGACTCTCAGCCCCCAGTGCCCTGCACACCACCAAGACTCACTCACCTGTTGAGGGCATTGCACATCTCTATGGTTACGAGGACTGAAAGTGCCATAGTCATAGGGTACGGGGATTCAAAAATCGCACAATCCACTCCTTCAAAGTCAGGGTTATCCTCTTTACACTGTAGGAAGTGACTCTGCAATAACACATCAATCAAGTTCTGGATCAGTTAAAGATCCTGCCATAGTCCCAGGTATGACTTCCACACTAAGTCCACAACACAGAGCCACGTGTGCACAAGCGAAGTCCTGACTGGCCCTTCAAAACAATCACAGATGTGGTTTGCCGAGCGCACCGTCCTTCAAGTAGTTTGGTGGATGCCCAAAACCAAAGGGGAGGGGAAGGACAACGCAGAGCTTTGCAGAAGAGACAAAAGAAAAAGGTGGCTACGTACCAGCTGGTAGATGGAGACTCTTGGTCCACCGTCAGCAGCGATGAACCACCACGCGGCAGCACCTACAGTAGCGGCGCCAACATAACCTGGAGACGGTAAGTCATAATGCTCGTAAATACAGCCTGTCTCCATGGGAACCAGGAAAACTGTCCGGGCAACCAAGCTGAGCTTTCCAGCGAATCTGCACTTGTTCCCCACAACGGCTCAGAATTTGTGACAACAGGAACTCACTGGATCCTGTGTCTACGTCTGCACTAACCATAGAATTCTTTTACCAGCTGTAGGCAGATGTGGTGTCCACACAGAGGAGCAGTTCCTACAGGGCACAGCACATCCTGAAGCAGATTCTCCAGCGGTTATGATAAAGACCACCACCTCAGAGTGAGAATGTCCCAGTCCGGAAGCAACAATTACACAGACTCTAATAACGCAGCAATGATGAGGCAGCTTACTGTACTGACAGGGATGACTGTGCAATTCAGAAGGCACGTCCCAACACACAAGCGTGCAGACAGTGCACGCTGTCAAGTTTGCACAACCAATTCCATTTATCCAAAAACTATAGCCTATCCAGCAACACACAGGGAGCGCCCTGACTGTGGGCCCCTTGCTGTTGAGTCAGCTCATGGGTTTGAACTGCTGACCTTATGGTTAGCACTCCAGCATTTATCCTATGGATGCTATTTACTTTCTGGGTCTCAGCAGGATAAGAGCTATAAAGACAATGTGTTGACTGTATGCTCATGGCCGGAACCAGTGAATGCTAAGACAAGGGACTAAAAACTACGAGGCTGAAGTATAAACAGGATGTAAACACGGGGACTTCAAAATGGCATTAAAAGACAATGAAATTTTCCTGTGACCATTTGGAACCCCCTTGTAAACATCTAATTAAAGGGCAAGACAGCACCTATGCTGTATGTGCTACTTTACTACAAGGATACAAAGAAAAAGTGATTTTTATAATACTCAGTGATAACACAAATTGAAGTCCCCCAACCCCCATTCTTGTACTACTCACATCCAATTGCCAGGTAACGGAAAAAGAGCCAGCCGCTGATCAGAGGCTCCTTGGGGTTCCGGGGCGGCTTATTCATGATGTCCAGATCTGGAGGGTTGAAGCCCAGGGCGGTGGCAGGTAGGCCGTCTGTCACTAGGTTAACCCAGAGCAGTTGGACAGGAATTAAAGCCTCAGGAAAACCCAGGGCTGCCGTCAGGAAAATGCTGTTCCCACCAGAAAAGAGGAAAGATAGCAAGGTTATTTTTGGCCACAACTGTAACATGAAACATGAAATCAACACTGATTGGCTGAAGTAACTTTTTGTTAAGTGCTGTCAAGTCGATTCTGACCCACAGCGACCCTGTAGAGGGTTTCCAAGTAGTAGCCTGTACCACCAACCTTGCAGTTCAAAAGACTCAGAAGTCTGAAGCATTAGTCCACAACGCCACACTTTTTAGGCAATCATAAAACAACATAATTTCTAACAGAAACTAACATTTAGAGGACCAAACATTTTGTGCTACTTTAAAGGGAAGGAATCCAGAAGGGTTCTTTTCATGCACATTCCACAAGAGATCCGTGTCATGTCCACCCCCCACTCCAACCCTTGTACAAAAGCTGCTCGACAGGACAGTAGGTCACAACTGTCCCATTTCAGATAAAACCAGGGAAGAGACCCTGTCAGAGACCCACCAGACGACTTCCCCGACGTTGGAGGAGATGAGGTAGCGGATGAACTGCTTCATGTTGTTGTAGATGGCCCGGCCCTCCTCGACGGCAGCCACAATGGTGGAGAAGTTGTCATCGGCCAGGACCATCTCAGAGGCAGTCTTGGCCACGGCAGTTCCGGAGCCCATGGCAATGCCGATCTCAGATTTCTTCAATGCAGGTGCATCGTTCACACCGTCCCCAGTCTGTAAACACAGATGAGGGGCGCTTGGAGAGGAGCCTCACTCAGGGAAGACTGCCGCTATGCCTGAACACAAGGTTCAGAACTACTGTTGTCTGTCACCATCCTATTTAAGGGCCCAGGTGAATATACGCACCTGAGTGAGTATCACTGCTCTATAGGTGGCTTTGGGGTACACCTAAATACATCTGAAGTCCCCTTAGTTCTATCTAGTCTCTTTCTCAAGCCTCTATTGTAGACTCATTTGTCAAGTTCACATTGCCCAGGTAAAGTTTAAAAACGGTTTTGAAAGCATCTTACAAGCAGTGAAGTATTCATGCACATTGGAAAATTTCAAGGAGGAACAAATATACTGTAACCAAAACAAAGACTAGAAATCACCTAATGCTTCGTATCAGACAGATTCAGAAGGCACTGCCTAGGGCCTTGTCTGCAGACAGCAGTCACTGTGCCAATGGGAGTCATAGCCCAGGTCCAATCAATGTGTCAAGAAATGGCTTATCACAGAGCTATGCTACATTCAGTGGTGACATCAGGGCCTGGGGTGTGCGTATGCCGCATCCACGGTTCCTTCCCCAAGGACACTCACCATGGCTGTGATCTCATCAAATGACTGTAGAAACTCAACGATCTTGGACTTGTGTGATGGTTCCACACGGGCAAAGCAGCGGGCAGTCAAGCAAGCGTCCCTCTGTGCTGCGGGGCTAAGCTCATCAAACTCCCGGCCTGTGAATGCCTTCAATGTCACGTCCTCATCCTGCCCAAAGATGCCGATGCGGCGACAGATGGCCACTGCGGTGCCTTTGTTGTCTCCTGTGATCATGATGACGCGGATGCCTGCCTGCCTGCACAGCTTCACTGAGGAGGCCACTTCGATCCTCGGGGGGTCCAGCATGCCCACACAGCCAACGAACGTCAGACTGGTCTGAATTTAGAGGATCACTGTAAGCTCAAAACATTTGCCGCTGTCCCTGCCCGCTCCCCCAACTCTGTAAGTTGGACCGTGACTACTTTCATCTATAAAACAAATATTCTGCATTCTTTTTCTTAAAACAAAAACTTAATACCTTGAATCTTAGTTAAGAATGAAGGTCATAATAAAATAGTATCAAATCCTAATTAATTAAAAAGGATTAAAAAACAAAACACCACCATCACACACAGTTGTTATATCAAATCATTCAACTCCCATAATATCACTGTTCAGAGCTTTAAGGAGACCAAGTTTACAATGAGCAGAAAAGAAGTCAAATCTCTCAACTCAATGAGAGACACTCACCTAATAAATATTTAAAGAATTCTCCTAATTAAAAAAAAAACTTTTCATCTACATGAAATTTGCAAAATAGTTTTCACAAGCTCCAGGTAACTGATCTTGATCAATAAAAGGCTGTCAAAATAGGACAAACTGTTACAACCACCTGGATTCTAAGGATGATGTAGCAAAGCAAATATCCATGCCTCGTATCTGGCAAACCTCTGAGCCCCTAACCTTGACCTGAAGGCAAGCTGCTTGTGCAGGTAGAGACCACAGAGCCACTTACCTCATACTTGATGAAGTTGGCCGAGTCCTCCAGGTTCATCTCCTCTCTCTTCAGCGGGTTGTCATGAGTAGCCAGAGCCAGGCACCGCAGCGTGTCACTGCCACTGCCCCACTCCCGGATGACAGACATGATCTTTTGTTTGACCCCGGGGCTCATGGGGACCTTTGTGCTTCCAACTCGGATGTGGGTGCACCTGTCAAGGACACCCTCAGGAGCGCCCTGGAAATTGATTCAGATAAACAGTTCTGTTAGCAGGCTCAGGGGCTTGTGAACCTGTTGTGAACGGCTCCATTTCAGGGCACTCTACTTGCCTTCACAAACATCTTGCTCATTGATGTTCGGCTGGGTTTGTTTGGTGTACAATAAACTGACATCGACTTTCTATCACGTGAAAACTCCAGGGTAAATTCTTTTTTCATCAGTTGCTTAATGACCTATTGTAAAGACACAGAAGTGCAGTTGTTTGGATCACAATTATTAAAAAAAAGTTTACTCAAATATTACACTGAGCACCAATAACATGACAGGCATCTTGGATACACCAGTGAACAAATAAGACATGCTTCTGCCATTAGGAAACTTGTATTCTAGATTGGGAGAGAACTAGAATGTGAAAATAAAACAGTAAATGCTCTATGGGAGAACAATTCATAGCCTTGGGAACTCCACGGTACACACATTCTCTGTCCTGTAGGGTCGGTCACTATGAATTGGAACTCACAGCAAACAAGGGAGAAGGGGACAGGATGGGTGTAGGTCTGTGTGTTGAGTGTAACGTTTACAATGTTTATTGAGGCATGGGGAGTGTGCAGGCCAAGTGTACACTCAATCAAAGGTGCTGCCATGAGGACCGATGGGGCTGAAGGAGTCTGTACAGAGAAACTGGGGAAAAGTCAAGAGGCCATGACAGGAAGCAGAAGTTGAAAACTCTAACAGGAAGAGTGCAGAGGTCTGCATGTTGGAAGTCATGTGATGCACAGGCTGAAGGAATGCTACTGATCGAAGTGTAGTTACCTGGACCAGCGAAGGAGGGAGGTGGAGGTGGAGAGGCTTGAGCAGAGCTATCCACAGATGTTACAGTAACAACAGACATGTTCCACCCACATGATCTATGTGGCAAGTGTCTGAGGACCCATTTATATTGCAAGTATTTTCCATAGCTTTGTGTAGCTCACAGCTGCTGTGTTGATGCTAGAACACCAACAATAAGGGTCTAACTTATGGCTAACTGGCGGCTCTAGACTCCCCAGGAGCCAGTCATGCAAGAGGGCCCAGTGTGGTCCCTAGGCACCAGATGAAGGGGTTTTTTGAGTGTCAACTGGTCAGTCAAATATAGTTAACCACAGGATTAGAATTCTAAAGGGTTTTTGAAGACCTAGTTCCATCACCTACAGCCATGCTCTCACCTGTCCCCCACTGCCAACTGCCCAAACCAGGAAGGCTGGTGCAGCATGGAGCAGAAACCCTGCGTATGGAACCCTTCTCTTGCCACAAGCAAGCATGACATTAAGGTGTTTTTTCTTTACGAAGAGATGCCAAATGGTTTTCTACCTTTACTTGGTTATGATTAATTAATCCCCGCCCCCCCTCAGATATGTACTGAATAGAAATCCCATGGATACTCCTTCTCATCTAGGACACTGTAAAGTGGTGTGGGCAGGTGACTCCCGCCAGCCTGAGTGGTCTCCAGGATCTTGGTGTGATTAGGTGCTGAATGTACTGTGTCCCGACAAGCTGAGTGGGGGAGTACAGGGATAATAGTGGTGTGGACCCCCACAGAAGAGCAATTCTGAGGGGAGGGACAAGAAGTCCATCTTCCACTGTCAGGCTTGAATGTCCTGTCCATACAGCCACTGGTGTAAGCTGGATGCTGCTTCAGTAGTAGCTCCTGCTCTCTGGGACTTCACCATGTCTGTGCATTGTCCCAACACAGTGGTCTCCCATGTATCCTCCAGCTGCTGTGGAAAGGAGGCAGACAAAGGCCCTGGAGCAAGAACCTGGTGATTGCACAGGGCTGGTCCTGCCCTCATTGGCTTGTTTGCAATGAGTTGCTCAATTTTTACACAAATAAGGACTTGCCTTTTTGTGGGTGGGTCTTAATTGAAGTTAGTTTTCAGTCCAAGTTCCTGCTGGTCATTAGAGGCCAGAGCCTGGCCTGTTCTGCAGAAGCAGTTGGAGATGGGGCAGGAATGCCCAGGGAAGAATAATCATCTGTTCTCCTATGACATATTGTAATTGGACCATTTTCTCAGGACTTTCTAAAGGTGATGGAAAGGGACAGTTTCGCCTCACAGAAGCTGGGAGACCACAAGCCTGTGTGGTTTGAAACCTCTCACAACCTGAGGTTCTGTGGGCTCACCAAAAGATGAGTGTCTAAGAACAGAGGTGCACACCTCTCAGCCTCTGCCCGTTGTGGGCTGGTTTTGTTGACTGTGCTGATGCCAAGTTCCCAGGCTCGTCTGCCCTGGCTGCCATGGGAGACGGAAGAAAGGGTTTTTGACACACAAACGTAGCAACAGTTGATTATTGAGCAGAAATTAGCCTCGCCCTCACATAGCTTTGCCTGAGCGACAGAAAGGCTGACTCTACCTCTCCTCCACCACACCCACACCTATAGGAAAAGCAGGCTATTTGCTGAATTCTACTAGACTTTCCACAAAGCACACAGGCCTGACAAACTGTGATCTGTTGAGGCTTCTCTCCAGACAGGACACCACTGGGGCAGCTCTTGAGGCTCCCAGAGGGATGCAGTTGTGAGCACTTGCCACACAGAAAAGCAGCAGCTTCAGCCCTGAGTTAGCAGTTTATGGATTCTAGGGCCTTAAGTTTCTTCACACCTGCTTGGCCACTTTGAGGACATCCTGTTCTGTCCCACCGGGGAATGTCGATGTGTGTGTGGCACTGTCACCTTGTTCACACACTGCTTCTCATTAGGCCAGGAAAGGTTAGAGGAGGACAGTGCTCTTTCCAGTTCAGCCACGATAGCCTTCTGAACTCAGCAGGACGGCCAGAGCCCCCAGCTGTGGTTGCAGCTTCTTTTCACTCAGGTGTGGTTTTGCCAGAGAAACATCCCCTCAACCTCTCAAGTTGAGTAGTTCCCTACAAAGCAGATCCAGCCTTTCAGAGCTTCTCAATGGGGACCTTGTCCACATTCTTGATGGCTCAGGTCCATTAACTTGCAGAGACCCCACCCTGACCTTTGTTTGGCCGACTCTGGCAAGCCTTTCTCCCGGTGCTGCCACAGTGCCTGAATGTGAATGTTCAGCAGAAGTGCAGTCCTGGGACACCCACATGGTTCTATGTTTGCCTTTTTATGTACTGGACTAGATTTGCTATTTGTTTAGAGATTTTACATTGATACTAGGACACTGTGAAGCGTCGTACGTTAGTGTGTAACTTCCTTTCCTTCTAATGTCCGTGTCTAGTGCTGCCACCTCTTCTTCGGCAGCCTTTACTAATAAAGTCAATTAGGACCAGGAGAAATCTAATAGGTGTTAAGTTTCTAGAAAAATGTACAGGGGGACTTCAAAAAGTTCACAGGGAAATGGAATGAAAGATAATGTTGGTTTGAGGTAAACACTTCATCCATGTTAAAACCAATGACATATAATCAATCATACTTCAGTCTTTTAGATCAGTAGTATGGCCTTGTGTTGGTAAATGTTACTTAATGCATTTGAAAAGCCTCCTGGGAGTAAGTGCATTACGATGTTGTTCAAGCCTTCCATATCCTTAGTGATTTTCCATCTGCTTTACTGTTGTTCCATCTTTACCACGCTACAGTCTCTTACATGCATGGTGGCTACTCTACTTCTTTTATTTCTGTTAATTTTTGCTTCGTGTCCTTTCAAAGTACTATTCAGTACACACATATTAATGATTTTTCCACTGGCTTTCGGAAAAGGTGACCTTGACAAGGTTCTCAGAGGCAATAATGGATAGGAGTAGGTTAAAAAAATGGAGTGAAATGAGACCACTCTTTTGAGAAAGTTTTACCACCAAAGTAAAGGGAAGGCAGTGAGGTGCTCTATTAACAGGGGTGGAAATGACTGGATTACTATTTTCTTTTTTGGTGGGATAGCCAGCAAAGCCAGTTGGCCTGGCACTCTCGCGGAGAGAAGGTACCAACTGCTGTATAAGCAGTAAGAAGGAAGGGAATGGGTAGCAAGACTGGATACTGACCGAATTGCAGGCATTTGCGCGTTCTATTTTAGAAAGCCCCTTCAATTCTGTATTGAATACATTCATCTTCTCTACCAGACATGTGAGCGCAGTCTCTGTAGCTTCTCCAACTTTTTCATACACACCCTTTGCCTGTTTGGGGGATGGGAACACAAGTAAACACATAATTAGCTCTCTCAGAAAAAGCATTCCATAAGCCGAACTGTCCTCCATGGCATTAGTCTGTCTGTAGATCATTTTTAGCCCATGATGGCACACATGACTCAAGTTAAGTAGAAATGCATTTTCTTATTTAAGAAGAATTTTCATTTTCTTTGAATATTTCTTAAGTCATGCTTTCAGATAGTAAATGTAGTTCCTTATTATAAAGTCACCCTAGGCCTCACCTTTTCCTCCCAAGAAATGCTGCTGCTGTTCCATCTTAAAAAGCAAGGTTGCTACCGTGGTTACAGAAACCTCTTCTAGCCTGGATTTTATCAAATGAAAGTAAAAATCAGGTCCACTGCAGCACCCAGTTAAGCAGCTGCAGTGTCCACTCTCAGGGCAGATAAAAGGCTTCCTGCTATTGATAGATGGGGAGACAGACTGGTGAATGGAAAGAGGAAATGAAACCAGGAGACCTCACATGAGCATCTGCATCTCCATGGCAACCAGCCCAGCCAGGTCTAGTTTCTTACTACATGCCATCCAGTCAGTTCTGAGTTATAGCGAACCTGTATAGAGTTTCCGAGGAGCTGCTGGTGGGTTTAAAACCACCAACCTTGCAGCTCAAACTGACCTTGAGGGTCTTAGCCTTTAATTAATTACCTCATTGTAATCCAAAGCAGAGTCATTGCAAAGAGCACAGATGGTTGCTAACTCTACGAGACCGTCATACTGGTGACATTTCACAGGTTTATCATCTTTATGCCTGTCAAAAGAAAAGCCGACCTTTAGAGAAGTGTAGTCATTGCTAGTATATCCCCCCTATTGATTTAATAACATGAACAGAATTTTGCATACGTGTTCAAAAAGTGATAGCTCTTGAGAACAAGGAGGGGAGTGATTGATTCTACAGGCTAGGAGCGGAGCTATCTGGGACCTTCAACGGAGAATAGCTAAGAGCAGGACCCTACCCAGAGAAACAGGGGTGCCTGAGATTGAGACAGAGACGATGACGTGGAGCAATGAAGTGGCTGGGGACTGTGGAGCGAAAACTGGGGGTAGGGGGCGGGTTTCTAGGATATACCCTTTGGCTGGTTGATGATGCATGGAGGGGATTGGAACCATGGCAATGAGATGATATACAATGGAATGAATGTAAAACTAAAGTTCTCTCATGTAAACTACCATATAATTCACAATAAAA